TTGTTATTACTAGTAAGGCACTTGCTCCTAGTAGCGATGCACTTGTTCCTAGTAGCGAACATTTACCACTAGTGTTACTTGAAGCGATGCACTTGTTTCTAATAGCTTATTGTTTCTAATAGCTTCTTGTTACTAGTAGTAAGGCCCTTGTTACTAGTAGCGATGCACTTGTTCCTAGTAGTGTCCTTGTTCCTATCCTTAAAATCTACTTGAAGCGACTACCTGACTACCTCTGTCCAACTATGTAATTATATAAGTATTTTATGCTGGTTAATGGAGTTGCTTCAAAGCTACTATACTGACAAGTTATTACGAGTACTACTTTGACATCTTTGGCAGCTCCAGTTGGTTCATAGGACATCTTTGGGCATTCGGAAGGGCGTCTCCATGTGGGCCCCTGCCTATATAGTGGAGGAGCATGATTTTATCATCGTCAGGCATGCGATTCCTCAGGGCGTGTCCGTATGATGAATTCTGTGTGCTATGCCCTCGGCTGTATTAGGTTGGAGGCCATCGCTACAGTCATCTAGAGAGGACTTAGAAAGCTATTATTAGGTTGGAGACCATATGCTTTGGGGCTATCAGGTGCCTCAAGTACCGAGTCTGTGGAGGCACTCAAAGCCTGAGGGGCTAGACTTGAAACTTAGCCAGCCTTAATGGCACGTGCCCAACGGCTCCTGCTGCTCCATCACTCAGGGTTTGTGGCCAAGGAGCGGAAAGAGAGATGATGAGTAAATTGTGCCTGGCAAATCGTGCTAATCATGCAGCACACAGAATATGTGTCCCAAATATTCCCACATTGGCTTGTGGCTGCAGCCGATTCCCGGTGCCTAAGGTTCTGATGCCCTGTGATCTTGGATGAAGCTGCCCGAAGCCATTGACGATACCTTTTCCTGACATCAAACTTGCTGACTTTGTGTTATATAACTATATGTATATGTGCGTGTGTTTTGTCTAAGGGGGCTGGGAAAGAAACAGAACAGCTTCAATAGCAATGGACAAAAGTAGTGTGCACTGCCAGGACGGGCATCTATGTTGACTGTATTGAAATGACGTGCCAGATCATGTGCGCTGTGCTGATCTATAATTTACACCTCTCATGGTGCGATCCACTTGGCACCCCCTGGGTGTCCCACCATGATCAGGCTCTCTAAAGGCGCCTGGACCGTGCCGCAAATGCATAGTGGCTCCAAGCAGCACTGTGATTTGAGGACGAACAACTATAGAAAATGTAAATGCACATAAATGACGTTGCACGCAGTTTGTGTAAAATGCATTCGCAATTGCCACGTCTCCCTTGCAACAGCTATATACCCCGCCGCAACAAATGCAAGCAAGGCGCTTTTGGGATACTCCACCTGAAGCTCTTCACATCGAGCTGAAGGGCCAAAGGACCAAGAGTAGGTGTTCCAAGTGCGAGTAAGCTACCGTAACTGCAGCTACTCGCGGATATCGAATGCCTTCCAAGGCAGAAGCTGCTGCAGGACAAACCTGAGGGCTTCAAGGAATTTTTTGAGTGGCCAAGGCTGGTATGCCATCAGCTTCAGGTATTAGCACTTCTCAATAAGCGAGCAAACAGTTTAAAAACATATGATGATCTGTGCCTCCTTCAGAAGGGACGCTGTGACGTAGCTGGGCGCCGTCAGAATCAAAGCTTTGCTTCGGAGACGCTTGGCACCTTCTGGGGTGTCATAATCCAACACATGGACCTGGCCAGAACGTTATCTCTCTCTCTCATACCTATCTATCTACAGCATCTATCTATCTATCTATCTATCTATCCGTCCGTCCGTCCGTCCGTCCGTCCATCCATCCATCCATCCATCCACTGCCCTTTCTCTCTCTCTCTCTGCGTTTCAGCCCTCTCACTCAACATTGAGAATCGAGGTGTTGTGTTGCGTTGCATTGGCTGTGCTCTGGCCAAACTGTATCAAACTGTGAGATGCTGTGAATGCAGGATAAGACGAGAGGGCCCCACACCGATTTGCTTGTCATAAGCCTCGGGTGCAACGGTTTGGATGGCACGAAGGTCAAACGTGACGCATTACCTGCATTCAAACGCGTAGATTGGGTGCTGCAATCATGAAACATGCAGTATTGCTGCATTCTTCACGTGCGCCGTCGCCGCCAGTTGCATGCACTTTTATACTTCTATTGTTTTGGTGACATTTTTTGATCTGCACACCAGCATCGATCAAAAATATTCAAAGATCCGACGTGACCCCGCTGGGCCCGTTACCAAATGAGCCGAGATGCCAGCTTCTTCAGTTTCCAATTGAGACGAACAGGGTTTCCTGCCTTTTCCACATCTGCGCACCTTTGTGCCGAGATGCTGCTTGAGGACTTGTGACGTGGAAAATGTCAATGCGGCTAAAAGTCGCCGCTGACAGGACAGTGTCGCTTGCAAACATGTTGAATTGAAGGTCCTGCCAACTGTTGCCAACAACACCTTATCCCCGGCTAGCTGGGCAAATGTAGCGGCCTTGTTCCTGGAGCCCCTAGTAGCGTCCTTGTTCCTAGTAGTAAGGCTTTATCCCCTGCTAGCTGGGCAAATGCCAAGGTGCAAAGCATCACTGAACTGCTTGAGCCCTTCTCTGAACGATCCGACGGTCTGGCCTTGGCACACCGCACAGAAACCATCATCTCCATTCAAAAATTGGATCCAAATTATGGATCAAAGGTTCAAGATGCTCCAAGCAATCTAGCAAATAAGCCACTCCCTCATGCTAGTAAGCCCTGCGTCCAAGGGCCAACCTTTCACCTCGGGCAGGCGTGGGTCACGAGGCTCAGAGGGTTTGGACGCACGGTCCTGGCACGGTTTTGCTTCAAGAGCTGCCTGACAGGTGCCGCATTTAAAGTGCCAACCTAAAAGACTACTGACTCTGTTGGAAAAAATAACTATGCTTGGACTCCCCCAAGGACCCGATCCTGAAAGAGCTGGATCGCCCCAGCCTGAGAATTTTCAGGAGAAACTAGCAAAGTTGCTCCAAGTTCTCTGCATAGAATATACTAAAAATAATTGCCAAATAAGTGTCATGATTGTCATCATGGCCTAGCAACTCAGATGTTTCACCTTGACCTGTATAATTTATAACTATTAAGTTTTGGGGAGGCCCGCATGATCCTTCGTGAGCCAAGGCTTAGCTCTCCGCCACCAAAGAGCCCGCATTTTTCTCCAGCACCTGGATGCAAAAACAAATTTGCTTTAGCACACGACTGCATGTGTCCGTCTCTTAACTGCCTGGACACGGCCGGTAGCAGCTGATGCAGAGAGCGTAGATGGGTCGCCCGCATAGACCTCAGTAGATGGGTCGCTTCTGGGTGCTCTCCATGCAGCACGCCAGCTGAACATGTGGGACCCTAACAGTGCTGCGATTCATCTGCTGAGTGCCCGTTCGCCACTGACGAAGGGGTCAATAAGCCGCTCAAAAGCCTGTCCGTGGGTGATTCTGGTGGCAAGTCAAAAGCTGCATTGCACAATAGACGCATTGCACGGTAGACTGTTTAAGGCAAAGTTACAAGGGTTCAAAGTTACAAGGGTTGGGGACAAAAAGTATCAAGCGTGTGATCCCTTAGGGGTTCTTACTGGGCGCTGAATCGTAAAAAGCATTTCCAAACTCTGATCTTCTCGGCCTAGTGACCAAGTGACCTGGTGTCTTCCAACCAAGCAGTTCTTGCTAGGCAAATGCTGTGACTGGCGCTCATGAACCCATGACCCGCGCAAGTCAGAAAGCTGTGCTGCAAAACGTTTTTCTTTCCGCAACGGCATCAAATTGAAGAATAGTGCAGCAGCGGTAGGAGTTTCTGCGGGGGGCTTGAAGCGCGGCAAAGGGGGCAAGATGCCTTCATGGCGCACCTTGGGCAGGTCACATTCAGGTACGATTTTATGCACGTGACACGGAGGATACTTCTATACATGTGCATTGGCAAGCTTTGGATCACATCCCAATGTCTCCAGCACCGGCCAACTTGCGAAACAACCCTGCACTGCACTCATTCCTTTCGGCTCCGGCACCAGCTGGCAATGCAATCCCAGCAAAAAAGATGGCCACAAAGAGTTGCCGTAACACTCTCAGCAGGCCCCATGCCTGACAACTGCTGAGCTCATGAATGGATCAGTTAAGCAATGTTCAGAATTTGTACCCTTCACCTGGATTAGGCTTGAAGTGACATTCGGATATCATGGGTGCCCAACTCGGCTGATTTTATTGCCAGCTAAATCAGTAATGATGGTCCGGGAAAATAGTCATGGAAGTCGAAACCCGCTAAATGGACTAGCCCCGAAGTGGATGGTGCTCAAGCGGGCGACCGATGCCCAACCACTGACATGAATAAGCCATAAGCTTCAGTGTGTAGGAGGGCGTAGGCGTAGGGGTTGCAATGCAGCTTTTGGCAGCACATTCAATTCGTCATACAAGAAATGATCTGAATTGCTTGACATGGAATCAAAGCCAAGCGGCAAATGTTGCACCGCGGCGGCCGTCCTGCGCTCAGCCGGGACTGCGGAAGTGCTGGGGCCCAGTTGCCCATGGCAGCTTGCAAAGTCTCCGTGTCGGCTACATCAGCTCCTGACCTTCGGAAGAATGAGGGCGCTGAATCTCACATCTGGCTGTGTATCCCCTTTCTTCTGGCTTCATCCCAATGCTGAATATTTGTCAAGCACCTTACTGAGTAATTAATCTAGCACCATCTGCGGCAATCGAAAGAGCCAAACAAATCAACGCAAAACGAATAAATAAAGCAAACACAGAAACCAGAGTAAAGGAGTTCCTGCTCAAGGACTCCAGCCGATCAAACGGAAAAGATAGATATAGGCAAAGAGAGATAAATGAACGCGAATAAAAGGGCGGCTTGGGTTTGATCGCTACTAGTGCCAGGAACAAAAACAACGAAAAACATGCTTTTACATACATATGAAAAACTCAAAAGTCTGTCAAGCTTGAACAAGGGGGTCCTTTGCCTTCGCTGCAGGATCTTTGCCAGCAGCTGGCCAATGGCTTGTGCCAGCAACACCTCGCAAGTTCCACATCAAGTAACAAAAGCGGAAAGCCGGCCTGCAAACATGCTATGGCTCATCAATCTGCAACATGCACCAGGCCACAAATCCCAATGGCCGGTAGCTGAAGCTCCTGTATGGCCGCTCTGCCAAGCTTACAGCTCTCAAGTTGAGCAGCCTCTCGGGCAAATGCCGGTAGCGACCAAAGAGATAGAAAAGCCTCGGATTGACGCTGAGATCTGTGCCAGCCCTGTACAATTATGTGGGGCAGTTCTGCATTCCAAAAGAAAGGCAACGGCTCAAGTTGGCCACGGCGCACTATATTGCACTACTTACAAGGGTAGGGCGCACAACTCACAGTACATCTGGGAGTCTGATCTGACATCCAAGGCCACCTCTCTTTGTCCAAAGGCCGCGAAGTAGCGAAAAACCAGGAAATGTCTATGTTGACTCTGTGAGTTTTGTATGGGTTGATTCTGAGGACGCTTTGATTCTGTTGCATTGGCTTGATTCACTGGTACAACTACACGCCATTAGCTTTCAGTTCCACAGGCCCTGGAAAAAGCACGCAAGAGTCTGCCCAAAAAACATCAATCAGCAAACCTCTTCCTTGACAGGAAGCGCACCCCACTTGACTTCCATGTTCATACTTGCTCCCTGACCTAGTGAGTGGCCTAGAAATCTAGTCCCAGCTGCAGCGGTAAAACAATTGAAAAGACATAAGGCTAACATAGGCTAACAAAATATTGAATTTTTCAGCTCATTTCTCTCAGTGGTTTCGGCTACCAAATAAACATAATCTTTCTCCTAATATGAATGCTACAAAGTTACTGTATACCTATGTATACTATTGTATACTGTATACATCAAAAAAGAATTGTTATATACTGTACTAATAGTTCCCGAACACTAATCCTAAAATGAATAATTATCAATTGGAAGCACTAAGGTAGCGGAGAACAAGTAGAATTACAATAATCCAGTCTAAATTTGGTAGGTTTATGACTGGAGGCTGTGGGTGAAAGCTGCAGTCATTTAACTTTGTATCTCTTTCGCTTGTTTTCCATCCATTGTATTGTAAGGCGGACCGACGGCCTGCAATGCATCGCGACACGCCACGCAACACAAATTTGGAGGCTCGACTGCAATTCAGGGGTTCGACTGCACTCCAGACATCTACCAAGCCAAACACGCTTGTAAAGAAGACTCACTACCTGGCATCACTGGCTCTGCAAAGCCTTACCATGCGCATGAAGGAATCACTGGCGCAGAGTAATTTTTCCCAAAGATCATGATCATGCCGAAGCATCATTGGGTTGGCATCCAGTGTGAGAACTACAGAAAAATGTGTGAAAACTGCATTTGTGGAGGCAGCGCTCTCCCGGCAAGCATACGAAATGCCCCAAAGCCGTAGATTCTCCATTGATCTCAATACGGACGAAGGCAAACACCACGCGAGTATAACCAAGCTGCCCTTACTGACTTTTGCCAAGGCACGCCAAATGCAGTCGCAAGAACAGCATGAGCCACTCGCCCCAGTTTCCATTCACCAAGACTGCGTTAAGCGCGGCAGCCAGAAGGCGTCGAAATCGACCTGCTGGGCGAAGGTTTTCGACCAAAAGCAACTCGCTGTACTCCTCCCCGAGGCTACTTCCGGCAGCCTAGGATTGCAGAACACGGCAATGTTCAGAAAATGAACTCAAGAAAACACACCTTGAGGTAGAGTAGCTGACCGAGCCAAGCTGCGGCTGTGGCCCAGGCATAGCTGGCATCACCCAAAACCTGCAATGCCCCTTGCCAGCGAGCAGCATGGCCTCCTAGCAACTCCTCACACGGGTGAAGGCTGCGATGTCGTGACAAATCGAATGCACTGCATTGCAGCTAGTGCACCTCGGAGGTCTCCAGAAGCAAGGTGCGCAACTCAGCTCTGCAATGATCGTCCTTCGCGCGCTACAGTTACAGTCTGCTCACGACATGCCGGTGGACGCAGACTTGGTGACCCAGGGTGCTGGAAAAAAAAATGCCAAGAGCACTACTAGTAGCGTCCTTGCTCCTAGTAGCGATGCCAGGAGCCCCTAGTAGCGTCCTTGCTCCTAGTAGTAACCCAGGGTGGTTGGCCCGAGCTCCCAAATCTGAAGTGCACCTTCTGATCCGCGCGCACCAAGTCAGCAGGATGAGCAAAGGGCAAAGGCGATGCCATGTCAAGTACTTGTGATGGTCTAGTTCAGTAATGTGGCTTGATGTGCGTTGAGTTGCCACCAGAATCTGTTTGGATCTGGAAGTGGCTTCGTGCAGACATGTGCAGACCATGTTCACGGCAACGAGGCTACAGGCTTAGGCTTCCCCAAGGTGTTACAAAGACTTGTCTGCAAATCACACGACTCTGTGCATGCCAGACTTAACCATTGCATACTTTTGTGATTTACGAGGCTGAAGACTGCCTTCAGCCGCCAAACTCTTCACGGGCAGACTATGAAGCACGGTCACAAAGCAAGTAACATTGACCGCAACTGTGTCCAAACAAGTGCAGGTTACATCATGAGCCATGCTTTAACGGCAGTGCGGTGCTGCTAGTACAATCTGGCACCCGGCTTGCAGCTGCAACCGGGTGAATTTCAGCCCAAGGGCAGGGGTGTGAGAACAGTCCAGTCGTCACGTTTCAAATGAAGCCACTCTCTGGCCAGGCATCTAGCCAGCTCAGGGCAAGTAGTGCTAGCAAAAGCCACGGAGATTGGAGACCTCGGCTGTCAAAAGCCCAATGACCAAGCCCCGGAACTTGAGAAAAAGAGAGCTGGACGAAAGGTATGTATGTAGGGGGGAAGGGCTGCTGCGGACGAAAACTGAGATAAAAGTTTGCCGGTGTTTGGGTGGAACCGGGCCGCGTTTAAACAACGTCGCGAAGATCTGGATGGTTATTGCGCTTGGCAAAACACGACAAGACGATAATGAGGAGCAAAGCAGCATCACCAGCAAGCAAAAGCAAACCAAAAAATAGCTCCTGGCATTACTACTGGGAGCAAGAAGCTACTAGTAACAAGGGCATCGCTACTAGGAGCAAGGATGCTACTAGTAGCTCCTGGCATTAAGGAGCCGGGGGAGTTTGATCCTTTCGGGGCCGGAAAGATTAATCAACCGCGAAGATCAGGTCGATTTCCACCGGTCCTCTTTTTTAAAGGGGGGTGGGCCGCTAGGAGGTGAGGTAGCTAGAGGTAGGTAGCTAGTAGTAGCAAGGTAGCTACTACATATGGACGCAGGATAGCTCACGCTTCCTTCAAGAAGCGCTCGCACTAATGATTTGGTTTAAACCCTATCTACCCTACCCGATGCTCCCATCTTACTAACCCAAGTGCTTGCCATGGAAGCGTCTCCACTATTTATCCTCTTGAACTTGTGTGAAAGGAAGAGAACAAAACATGATACACTCTGACTCACTAACATGGAAGTGGAAAATAGTCCCTTGGAAGGCTACTTTCCTTTACGAACAGGTGGTTTTCCACTTCCATGTTGGTGAGTCGGAGGAGTGCACCGCAAAAAAATCCAGGCGAGGTAAAGGGGATTCCGAGCGGACCAGCGTTTGGAGTTCCAAGCGGATCACCTTCCACGGTCACGGTTTCGGAAACAGCATGGGCGCGCGGTTGACCGTTGCGCAACTTCCCATCCGTTCCTTGCAAAGTTTGAGCCATAGCACCCAAAGCATCGCTTTTCTCCTCTTTAGGCCCATCATGCACTGTCTTGTCTTCATAGCCTGGGAAAGAAAAAGAAACAAGAAAACAAGGGCACTTAAATCAAATGGCCAATTGCCAACAAGAATTGGAGTATGGACAGGCAGCGACTAGCAACACCACAATTTCTGGACCGTTGTATTGTATTTGTTCTACGCTTTCAGGTGCAGCAAGCTTGACTATGGCTTGCTCAAGGCGTCCAAGGCACAGAACTTCCCTTTGGCAGCTGCTTCCTTTCCACATTGGCAAGCAGAGCCCACTGCTACTTTGTCATGGCCAGGGCATGGAATTAGGTCTGAGCATCGATCCTCCTGACAAGGAGACACAAGGAGACCCCGAGACACTCGGCAAAAATGGCTGGAGTGGATTGAGGGTAAGGTGGGGTCTCAAGTGGCGGAATGGTAACAAAAGAGACGGAAGATGAGGGAAGTGAAAAATGAGCAAGCAAGGTGAGCAAGGTGGATGTTCACAACTTGGGATGCGATGAGGAGCAGGTCAAACCAACATTTGGTGGCATTCACACAATGATATAATGTAGCAGTTACGTCACCGTGACTATCTTCATCCCTTGTCCTGGCAGTCAGTTCAAAACATTGCTGTTTTTCAGAGATCATTTTCAACGGCAAGAATGTGAAATGTGTCAATGGCTGACTTCGGCGCCCAACACAAGAACGCATGCTTTCAGCAAACAGAGAGCGATTGTGAAAGCTTGTGCCAACACGACTGGGCATGCACATGGGCTATGCTTTCGCCCCGCATCCTCGCTGTTGACAACACATCTAGGCTCTTTGCATTCGCTCTTCGTAAGTGATGAGCAAGGCTTGAAGAACTCGTGCACTTCCAAGGCGCCATGGGAACCCTTGCGGTTCGCACTGACAGGGTTGCAGCGTTTGGTAGAACCAAAACGGCAAGACTTGCAATGCAGATTGAAAAGCAATATAATATATATATATATATAATCACAGCCACCCAAATCATCCTTACCCTTCCGTTCCGGTGCTAGTGGTGCTGAGAACGGTGAAAAGTTTCATTTCAGGTCAAGACATTGATGTTGATCCTGAATCTGCTTGGTCGGGCGTGTTGGCCCCTCGCCTGGGGTGCCACAGTGTGTAGCAATCACATGCGGGCCCTTGCTGCTTGACATTGACAATGGCAACGTGATCGCCCTTCGTCACTCCATCGCAGAACCCAGCGAAGCTGCGAGGACGGTGTGGGTTGGTGTCGTGCACGTTGCCCGCATGATGGCGGCGAACATAAACCTCATTTGGCGACGCACATTGCAATCATTGCAAAACTGATGATTGTTTTGGTCTTTGTCTCGGACAAAGGGCGCTTGCGCTTTGGGGGTCTGTCTGTGAGGAAAGCTTTGTGCTGACCATGCTGCCTGGCCAAAAATTTCCACGCTGGGGCACTGGTTCCCATCCACCAGGATTTCCCATTTGCAAGCACAGTCGTGGGCGCCGCTAAGAGCTCTCAAGTTATCAGAGTAGAATAGCCGAAGCCTTGTGTCTGCATGGTTTTTTGTGAAAGAAATCCGGTATGCACCAATGGCACCAGAGTCCCTTCCATCCGCGTTGTGGCTCATGTGAACCTTCACCTAAGCCCACTCCAGCCACAGCAAGTTTCGAAAAGCACTGTGCTAAATATTCCTAGGAGAATGGAAAAAGGCAAAGCTTTAAGACAACCCTGACGACGGACGAGCGGATAAGGACTCTCTGATTCTTGCTTGATGCTGATGGAAGGACACGTGACACATGGACTGTGCCGCTCAAAATGAGGCCCCAGCCATTTGGTACTCCTTGGGGATTTCTTCGGCCTCAAGGAGAAATCAAGAATTCCACCCGGTAAAGGCATCACAAACCCAATGATGATGAATCGCTTCAATGTGCACATCAACCTCAGCTCAGCGGCGCCATGAAAAACACGGCCATCCAAATCGGAGCCACCATTGATTCTGAATAGCCCGAACTAATCAAAACCTTGTTGCAACATGTTGCACCGCATCCCTTGAAACACTTCCAACAGAATGCAGGATGATGCTCGGTCTCGGTACCTTGTGCTGTCCGGCCGGGACGTTGTCACAATAGCCCATGAAACTCCTCTGGCGGTGTACATTGTCAGGCGCATGCCCATACACATCCTTGGCTGGAATCAAACCTGCAACACGAATGCCGGCCTGCCTTCCTTTCTTCTTTCCTTCCTTCCCCCTTCCCTTTGCTCCTCTCCCCTTCCCTCCCTTGCATTGCACCACAATCGCAATCTCAGTGTCTCCAGTGATTGCACCGCTTCCACACATCTGTCCATCAATTCGCAAATGCCATCGACACGCGCCACTCTTGTGGGGACGGCCATGAATTCGAAGGTTGTCAGAGTAGAAAAGCCGCAGCCGGCTGTCCTGATTCGGCCCGTGGCTGGGTTAAGAACGCAGCCTAGCAACGTGCTGTATACACACAATAGACACACTTCGACATCTGACACCCTGTCCGCCAACTGCTTGTTGAAGTTCAGTACACGGCCATTAACCTCAAGGCGCGCACTTCAAGTACGTTTGTGCAAATATGTTTAGTGATTACTTGCCACCTGGCAGCACCAAAAATCATGACACTCCGGTGGACTCATTGTGTACTATCAAGTTGAGACTCCGAGACCTACCTTTTGGCCCTGCACATCTGCCTGGCTGGCCATGCAAAACAATGGTTTTCAGCAGGATTCTTCTAAGGAACGACACCACCATCTCTTCCATCCGCTAAGCGGCCTACACGGAATGCATTCGCCGATGTCGTACTACTAGTAGAGGCTTTGGCTTGGTCACAGCATGGTCTTAGTCTGCGTTTGGGTTAAGGACAACGGACAAAGCCACTGTTTGAGCATAGCGGTGCCTTCCACATAGTGGTAAAAGGGGTAGTCCTCGGGCACCTGCAAGAAGATCTGGAATTAAAGCAAGTATCACACCGGGTGCAAAAACGTGCAAGGCCTGTGCACAAAGCAAGTCGGAAACGGGGATTTGAATGGATTGCTCTCCTGGCCTCTTGCGCCTCCAAATGCCAAGAAGCACCGCCACTTCCCCACCCTTGCCAGCCAGTAAAGGCATCATGTCGATAAGCAGCTTCATACCTGAAGCCCGGGCGGTGGCCAATCACAGCACTTATATACCCCCATGGTTCCCAAGGTAAGTTCCCACGTCTGGCGCCCTATGCCCAGGCATGCTCAGTTTTCGCTGTCGTTTCAGCTCAGGCTCCCAGGAGTTGGCCGTACGTGCACAGAAACCGTGTGCTCTCCTTTTCCTGGCAGCTGAGGTATCTGATCAATCTCACTAAAGTACAGACCAAGCTGTCGTGATTTATTACGAACGAATCCTGCATGAAGCATGAGGATGCATGAGGCATGTTGCTCGTCAACCCTGTTGCACTCCCTTACTGGCATCGTTTCTTCCGAATCGTTCTGCCACATCTGCATATGCACCAACCCATACGGCAGTCGGTAACAACATTGCCCGGCAGTATGGAAGTGCTGGAGATCTGATCTGGCATCCTAATTAACACGCGGACTGAATGCTCAGGCTTTTGTTTGCGCTGCTCAGCCGAGCTGCCAACTCCTTTGCAATAGCCTCCCCAACCGTTAATGCGGTGCGGGTTTTCAATCCGATGCACATGGTAAGCTCCATAAATACCTCCACTTGGGCAGGGCTGGCCATCGATCATGATCTCCCAGCCTCACCAAACAGGAAAAATTGTCGTATCAATTAATCGGTTGCGCACTGTTCATCATGTATGGTGGGCCAACATTGCCCATTGCCAACCTGTCTGAGGTCCGTTAGCAAATGAGGAGGAGAAAAAAAAAAGAAGGTAAAGGACCTCGTTAGTGTGAAGGCCTGATTTAAAAGGCCCTTTACGATCCTTTACGGTCCTCGTGTCTCTTTTATTTTGACTAACGGACTTGAAGGATGCAAGATGCAGCATGCACTAAGGGGGTGAGCATGGGTGAACTACTCTGCGGTGATATGAGACGCAAAGGACAGAGCGGGGAAACGGCATAAGACAAGCCAGGATGGGCCAAAATGAACTGAACGGCCGGTTTCAGGAAATTGAGATCATTGGAGCACTGCTGAGTCATCTGAAGAGGGCATCCTCTTCAAAGCATGCTGGGAAATCCTAGCTCTAAGTCATTCTCTGAATGAGCATCGAGGTGCCAAGGCAAGCTCTGATGAGATTCATCGACATGTGAAATGGAAATTGAGCTGGGTGGGAACAAGGGCTCAGACTCAGGACTCAGCTGAGGGGCCGAGGAGATGAAGAAACATACAGTAAATATATAGATCTGGCACTCCGAGGCAAAAGAAAAAGAGAGCTGCTGTGGTGAGACAACAAGGGAGGAGATTCCAAGAGCAAAGGCGCGGCAAGGAGCTGGGATGAGAGAAGGTGTGAGATGCGATAGAGCGGGGCAACCAAACGACCTGTGAGATGATGATTTTGTGCACGGGGGTGGGACACAAGGAAGGGAACAAAAAGCACCTACCCAAATGCCCGCGGCTTCGAAGTCAAGAAATTGACCGGACAAATGGACCAAGGGAACCTAACAATGGGCTTGCATGGCTTTTCAGGTCTTGCCTCTCAAATTGGCAAAGTTCAACTAGTTATATATATATTTATTTAGATATGTACATAAACATTATAGATAACCAACTTTGCTAATTATATTTCCGTGGTCAAAGGTGGCGGCATCTTGGCCCTCGCTCCGTATCATGGGTTCTACAGTGCCAGTGTTGCGGCTGTTCTGCCAGCCATGGCACTGCTAGCACCGCTAGGTTGGCTATGACAGTACACTCTCAAGTTGTCCGAGTAGAAGAGCCTGAGGCCACTTTTTTCCTGAGACGTTGCAGTGGGCTCGAGCATTATGAGGTACACATCCAAACACCAAATCAAATTACTGACCAAAACATTTTGGGTGTCCCAATGCAACCCCCACTTTTCCAACCCAATCTGTTTACAGCTTCGGACTTCTTGTAGAACTTGAATTCTCTTCCAGCGATTTGACCTTTGTCCTTTCCATCGTGCGGACCCTTGGCAGTCTTGCCATGCCAGTCCAGCAACGAAGGGTCCTGCCTGCAAGTATGCGGTATGCGCGAGCAATACCAAACACCTTTTCCAGTCTTGCAAGTCGACAATTGCCAGCTATCAGAAAGCTGCATCTCCGTGAGCACAAGGTCATTTGGTGTCTATTGTATTTACTATATGTGTGTGTTTCACATCACATTGGATAGGCGCAGCGACTGCATATTACAAAAAACTACCCTGACCGACCCTTGGTTGAACTTCAAAAAGGAACAGCACGCACCCTTGCCCACACTCCCAGCATCCTGGGCTTGTCTTGGCAAGTCGGCTTCTCCCCAAAGCAATATTTCCTGAGACTCAACAAAGTCATAACTAGAACAAACCAATAACGTAAAACAACAAATGCTGCTCAAATCCTCGAGCCTTCACATCTTGATCTTGAATCACAACAGGATCAGTGTACTGTATAGATAGGCCGGTGGCCAGGCTCTGCAGAGAGAGAGGGAGAGAGAGATATATATATATATAAACACTTGAGAATATGCATGGGCCAGGTGGAGTCGAAGTGTGCATCAGCGTTTTCGGAAAAGCTCCCAGGTCTGATGAAGTCAGCCGAAGAGAAAGCAGGTGCCATGATGTCGAGTCAAACCAAAAGACTCATCACCTTTGGAGTAAATCTCAGGTCTCCGTTTTCCGCGGGGGACTGGAGAATCAGAATCCTGCGAGGACCTGCTCGGGCCTACAAGCTTTCTGCGGGGCGCTTTTCTTAGGTCCAAGGTTATTGCTCTAGGCACCTTTCACGAAGGCAGTAAATGGATACATCGCTTGCTAAGGGCCAATCTCATGTTTCCTATTGTGCCCTTCCTTCTTGCCAGTCCCAGAGAACTTGCATTCTTAGCTTCCCCTCTCCGCAGTCGGTGCCCTCACACGAGCAGCTCGTTCCCAACGCAACCAGGTCACTCACCTCACTGCAAACAATTCCTTGTAGATCCTTGTAGTCTATCTGAATGCATATGTACGTGCATTGGAACTGTCTGTCTGTCTGTCTGGTCTGGTCTGGTCTGGTCTGGTCTGTCATGTCCTGTCCTGTCCGGTCCGGTCTGGCCTGGTCTGGTCTGGTCTGTCTGTCTGTCTCTGTCGCTCTCTGACTCTGCCAGCTTTTTGCCTAGTCACCGGGCACTTAACGCTCTCCTTCAGCAACTCCTTCTCAGTGAATGAGCTCGGGATTGATCTAGTTCCTCGTTCAACGCACCCCAGTGACAGCACTGAGTGCTTAGTTACACTTATAATTCTTCCTAACAGCTTGCTGCGAAGAGAATGCGGAGACCAAGCGCTGCCAAGAGTCCCTGAATCTCAGCGCGGTCATCAACTTCTACTTCCACAACCGAGGCAAAAGCATAAATGCCCCAAGCTGAGAGCAGCCTCAACATACGAAAGTACCTTGGGCTGGCAAAAATCGCATTGCTATGCATTGCTGACATCTCGTGTGGGCAATGTCCAGAACCCACAATCAAAACGAATTCTCTCCGGCAAGCAATGTGCTCACAACTTGGAGAAAGAATCAAGAGCCACAGGCCCTTTTCTTAAATGATAAAAAATTGACCTCTCCTCTCTATATATCTTGTGTTTGAATATAACAAGACATAATAAGACCATAAGCCATAAGCATCCATAAGCTATTGCCCCAAGGGGAACTTACTGAATGAACGCTCCAAAAACTTCAGAAAACAGCGCCATGTCACAGGCAGGAGCCTGCCACAAACTTCAAAGGACAACGGCTGAGATGGATGCACTGTTGCTGCGGGTTCATCGACAAACGCAGACAAGACGATCCAAGATCAAATCCATTCTGATGTGTTTCTTGCGAATGTTTGCTCTGCTCTTTCTCATTCTCCCCCTCTCCCGGGCACCTCCCTCCCTCCCTCCCTCTCTCTCTCTCTCGCGCGCGCGCCGCAACAAGCTCTGCCCATTTTTCGTTCTGTGGCTCAGCTCATGCCCGCTCAGCCCATTGGCCATCAGGGCCTGCAGGATTGCATGCATGAAAGAAACGCATCTCGGCTCTCTTTATCCAGCCATCACAAGACTGGGACGCAGCAGAACTTGACCAAAGCTCGAACTACATCCTCAAATGTCGTTGGTTCCTTCATTTTGTTCTGAGTTCTTTATTTCTCAGCACTGACCTCTACATTTGATTGTCACTGCTCACCTTCAGCCTCGGCTAGCACGCCCAGGGAATTGGGCAACCGCCGCATCCGGGCCGCGCGCCCTGATGCGATACAACACAGGGACAAAGGGACAAAGAAGGGTTACTGTATCAATGAATAGATCTGAGATAGATGCTGTGGATTGAGTGATGTTGTCGAAGTATATTTACAATAATCTCTATAAACCAGGCAACTTGCATCAAATGGTGCCTCGGTAGTACATGGCAGAGCCCTCTACATTTGTGCCTGGCTCGTCAGCATGGCGGTTCACCCTGTCACCTTGCGCATCGGAAAGTTTGAGTTTAGGTACGCCAGAAACTGCAATAGTACCAATCGAAAGTTTCCTCATTGGTTTGGGGCTTGGGGTGTTAATCGCATTTTTTTCCACATGGGCAGCTGGAGTCACGTTGCGGTTCAAGCAACAGGGCAAAGATCTTGATGGTCTCACTCAGCAGAATGACCAGCTTCAGAGCTGGAGCAAACAATCACAGCGTGCCGGCATGGCGGGTTTTAAGTGCGCGGCGCTGATACGGCGACACGCCGATATTCCGATATCGAGGGGGATATCGGTGCGCCGCCAATACGCCGATATCCCATGGTGTATCGGTGTATCAGTGCGGCGCAGATTTGGAACCCGCAGCGCCGGCACAATGAACAATACGCCGTACGCAAACCAGCAGCAGCACCAGAGCACCAGCAGCAGCAAACCAAAAGACTGTCAGACTGTCAGCAGCATCAGCAGCAAACCAGCAGGCAAACCAGCAGCAGCCAAAGCACAAAGCAAAGCGGGGGGATTCATCTGGGGGCACAAAGAAGTGAAGAGTCGAATCTAATCTCAGTAGATCGCGGAAATTGAATGCACAATGCACAGGTCCTATTCCAATACAGTTTCGCTAGCACAAAGTGATTACTCACTTCTCTATGGGTCTATCTTGTGCGATTACTCACTTCTCTATGGGTGTTTTTTCGCAAGCACTGGGACCAGCAAAGAAAATTAATATATAATAATATATACTAAATGTGTATGTGTATATATATATATATGTGTGTGTGTCACCCTTGGAGTCATAGGGATGCTTTTGCATTTGCATTTGTCTTACAGCGCGGGGTGCCAGGGATGCACACTGGACTGGCACCAACGAAGACGCCAGT